TGCCTCAGCCTGGCCCCAATGAGGCAGAACCTGGAGGACCAAGGGACACGGGTGTGCTCTGAACTGAGCACTTCCACTGGGACAGCCACACTGGTGACAGCCATCCCTGTGGTGGTGAATCACCAGCCCACGGGATACGTGTTGGCTCACAGCTACCAGCGTCTCCCAGTCTGGCTTGGAGGTGGTTCCTGGGTGCTGAAGCATGGCAGGTACACTGGAGATGAGTCCTGTGCTTTCAAAGGACTCCTAAATTGCTTGAGCAGTGCCAGTGTGCAAGGCAAAAAGGTTGGAAAAAGGATGTTCTGTGCATCCCATTAATTTTTGTCTGTACATAATCACATATCACTGTAAATGTGTTTTGGATGCCCTTGCATCGCAGCTGGGAGATAGAAACGCTGCAAGCTTACCCCAAGCTCTTTGGGTAGCAAGAGTTACCTAAGAAGTGATAACATGGACATCCATCCAGGTGGGTTAACCACCCAAATGCCTACAGATGATCGTGGTGCTGACCCCCACATCTCTCCCTGGTTCTTCCAAATCAGGCTCCTTGGGGAGAAGGTTAGAAACAAAAAGCCCAGTTATTTCCCACAATCAAATTCCAGAGCCCTCCAGACCCCACAGACGGCTCTGCTGCAAGCCTTGGATGATCTTTATTTCTGCAATAACTCCTCCAGAGAGAAAGAATTAGGAGGCTTAACACTTTTGGATGACAGTTGCCGGAGCGGCCGTCAGATAACAGGGACCGGCAGCCGGCGCAGGAGCCGGGAGCGAGCCAGGCCGCCGGATTCAGCCAGCCCTCAAAAAAGCCATGTTTATAAAAAACCCACATGAAAAAGAACGAATTGCCAATTACGCAAAAGTCTTTAAATAAAGCAACGCAAAGCTTTCATGTGCAGCAGACAAATGATACACGGTCACAGGGAAATAATATAACAGATAGGGAGGCTGAGAGCAGGGAATGTGAGCAAATCCATTTTCCAGAAGCCAGAAAAGGGAGTTGCTCGCTGAAAAGGATTAGCTGGATAAAGCCAAACACTTTTAAAAAAAAAAAAAAAACCACCAAAAAAACTGCATTAGAAACTAAACACGCATCAAACAGAAAGAGGAAAAGAACCAGATTGTAAGAAGATCCGAGGAGCGATGCTCTGCTCCTGTTCAGAAAGAAAATTCTGTCAAAAACCCACCCTACATAAACTTGCCACACACCCCACAACATCAACAGGCATTTATCAAATGAAACACATACGAAATGCAACTCTTCTTCCTAATCCCAAGTCAAACAGGCTTTGAGATTCAGACCCTCAGGAAGAGATTTCCATATGATCCCCCTCTGTCTCCGTTTATGATTAGCCCTTCTAAATTTCGGCATTTATCTGACAAAACACATTGGGGAGGGTTTTCTTTCATCCGCAAAGCCTTTGTTTCTGCTTTTCCTTAAAGGTTGCTGCTGTACCGCCTTGCAGCCGCTCAACTTGGGAGGAAAAGACGTTAGTCGAGCCCCTCTGATTGACTAAACCCAGGTTCACTTTCCTGGTGGTGGTAACCCCAAGGCCTCGCGTTGTGTGCCAACACCGAAGCATTCACAGAAGGGGTTGCAAAAGCTGCCTCTGAGCCAAAATCTTACTTTCGGGGCTCAGTAATGCAAAAAAACTCCATATGTTCATGAGGGGTCCTGCTGGCAATCACTGTGTGGCCACTCTGAGGGGTCTTTGGAGGTTTGAGGGGAGACTTTGTGGTGGCGAAACATTTCAATCTGGTGTGGTGGGGCTGTTGCACAGAGCCAAGGCTGACTCCTGCGAGCAGCAGCAGGAGCACAGCTACCACTTGCCTGAGGTATGGTCTTCATTAACCACCAATTGATATGTTTCGAACAACGTATTCATAACCCCCCGAGTCTGATCACAGCTAATTTGCAGACAAAAAAAAGGGAGTGCATTTGCTTAATACACTGCTTTTTGCAAACACCCTGATCATTCCCAGATGCATCTGGTTCTGCCCAGCAGCTCCCGAGGCAGCAGGAGAGGAAATAATTTCAGCTCCTGAGAGTCACCAGCCAAAGCAGTTTCAAGATGCTCCAGGAGCCCTCCTGCATGCATCTGAGGGAGCTGTACCCTTCTCCCTCCTTCAATCAGCTTCTGCTGGATTTTTTCCACACCCAAACACAGCAGCAGGATCCCTGAACCCTTCTCTAAACAGAACAGGTGGGGATGGTGTTTTGATCTCACCCACGACAGAGAAATCAGTTCTACTGATTCCCAGCAGTCTCTCCTGAACTTGCCATTAAGAGTGTGAAATTAGATATGGAAAAGCCTCCAGGAAAGGTTGAGGTTGCTGGGAATGAGAAAATTCTACACAAGAATTTGAGAACCTGTCTCCCGAGTAATTCAAGCCAACGCAGGTCTAGATGCTGAGACGCAGCACAGCTATGGAAGAATCGCTTTCCCAGCACAAACCAGCAGATCAGCCCTCCCTTTCAGCTCATGGCAAGATACTCATAGAAGAACAGAGCTTTGAAGTGACAGGCAGAAGCTCAGGGTTGGACGAACATTTTATTCACAGCTCCTTATTCAGTTCAGCTATGAGATAAGGTAACGATAAAAATAACGGTGCTCAGAACTTACAAAACAACTTCTATCTGAAATCTCAACACAAGTTACAAACAGTATGGGTCAGCTGGAGAGGTTTTCCCCCGCAAAGTGCAAATTGATCCCAGAGGGAGCCTATGATTTGGGACCTGCCAGGGCACAGCACTACTCATCCGGGTTGCATCAGCCCTCTCCTGCCCAGAGCAGAGCAGCCCTAGGACCACGCCAAAGCTGGTGGTGATCACCAAAGTATGGTGCCCATGCTTCACAGGAAGGCAAACCAAAATGGTGTGCCCACGTCTAGAGAGTATTGGGGACACACTTGAATCCAAAAATCCTCTTCTTCTGTTGTCTGCTCCACCCAAAAGTGATTTATTTACAATTGCCCTGAGTAGAGGCTACCCAACAGCATTGAAAAGCCTCATTTAACCAGAAAAGCACTGGAGATGCCTCAGTGGACAATCCTGTACATGTACGGGCACAGTGGTGCTCCCGAGAGCTGGGTTAACTTGCCTGCAACTGAGGTGACTGCTTTTTCTGGGTATGAATATTTCATACTTATACCTCCTGGCTTTCCCCATTCATACGTTACTTGAAAACAGCAAAACGATTTATTGTACGAATAAAATTCAGTCATGGGTCACTTGCAAACTAGTTAGTGTGATTTACAGAGCAATTCGCTTCCTATATTGATCGCTAGAAATTCCCACTGAAGGTGTGATTAAACAGTTAAAACAAATAATCACATGATATTGTTTCTGATCGCTCAGGAAGAGACACAGAGCTTCCCAAACCAGCATCCTCAATTGTCATCGTCATGTGGTTTTTTGGTGATAAAAAAACCCCAAAATAAGCAGGTTGGCCGGGGCAGCTCATATAGATTTCTCACAGTGTATTTTACGCTGTGATTATTAATATTGTGAGTAGTGCTTTAGCGGAACTGTTCTCCAACAGCCCATTCATTTTTAATGAAACTACTAAGGAAAATGTAAAAAAGGCATTTATATGAAATAGGAAGCCAAGTGCTGCGTCCTTGTGATGAAGGTGGCTGAACTTCCCCCAGCCAGCTGCTGAGCCTCAGCGAGCCCGGCGCAGCCCGCTGCAGGGATGCTCGCCACTCAGAGACCATTAGCCTGGTGGTTTGTTTTAATTAGTCATCCTGATTTAGCTGTTCTCCTTCCTGGCTAGTTCATGGTTATCCGGGCACTGGAGGAGCGTGTCAGAGAGCTGAGGGATTTCACCTCCTCAGTGACTAAGTACCAAAAAAATGTTACCCATTAACGTTTTGTTTAATGGTATTTTTAAGCAACTTTCCAGAAAGCGAGGCTGAATATGCTTCCGGTGATTCAAGTGGCCTTCAGCAACCCCCATTCAGGTTTGCCTGTGCTGGGTAGGATCCTGCCCCCCCTCCCAGTTTATCAGCTGCGGCGGGGAATCTGGGCAACTATGGGAAGTTTCGTTTCCTGCTTCTCGGGCTAGCCCGGCAGAGATTGTAAAAGGAAAGACATTCTTCTAATTCTTGTTATTAACCCGTTGGTGACCTCCAAGACTTGAGCCAAAATTGTCAGAAAAGCTCAGGATGATACAGCTTCCATGAGCCCGTCATTACACAGAGAGCACCAGCCTCTCATTTTTCCTAATTTTCCATATTTTTTTATTTTTAATTAAAAATAAGGCAGATGGAGCACAGACTTGTTTAAATAGAACCATAGATTCATAGAATGGTCTGGGTTAGAAAGGACCTTAAAGATCATCTCATTCCAACCGCCCTGCGATGGGCAGGGACACCTCTCACTAGACCAGGTTGCTCAAAGCCCCATCCAGCCTGGTCTTGAACACCTCCAGGGATGGGGCATCCACAACTTGCATCCACAAAATGCACGTTTGTGTTTGACACACGATTTACAACCTCTGCAATCTCTCAAGCAATGCCTGCCCGTGGCACCACAGCCCCTTCTGCTGCTGGTGCAGGTGGGTGTGTGGGGCACTGCCACCTCCATCGCAGAGCCCGGCATCGTGCCCCACAAACTTGGGATGGCAAGTAAAGAGGAAAATAAAAAAAAAGGCTGGAAGCATTTTAAGCAGATGTAATACATTTCTCAAAACTAAGCAACGCCTCAAAAAATAGCTGAGTGATGTAGTAACAGTGTCAAAAATGATCAGAGCTGCTTTTCTATCTCTCTGGCAGTGACTTGGACAGTTTTTGGCACAAATTACATGCTGAATTAGTCCTTCCAACAGATATGTCTTAGCAGATCCTCCCCACCCAGCATTAAGGCAGCTTCCCTGAGCTCTGCGTGCAATCATGGAGTGAAGCTGTTGAAGAAACCGGCTGAAAAGCCTTCTCTCTCCCCACCCCGGTGAAAATCTGCAGCCGGGGCAAACTATCTCATAGCAAAACATAGCGGTTCCTACCTGAACGAGGAGCTCCAGCTTCCTGTCGTCAAGGAGGTGCACTTGGCATCTGCGACCCTCCGTCATCTGCAAGAGAGAAAGAGGCATGTGTGTCAGGGTGCTTGGCTTTCCAGCTCAGCACGTGGCTTTAATTCGCTGTGGCACTTTCAGTTTGTGCTTGTTTGTTGGTTTTTGTGTGGGTTCTTGTGTTGTTGTTTTTTTTTTTTTTTTTTTTTTTAATTAATCCCCCTTCTTTTGGTGCCAGGGGAAAGCAAAGGCTGGAAAGATATCAAGAAAAGCCACCCCGGTAGCTGTTGCGGAGCAGCGTGTGGTGTCTGCTTGGATGCCGCTGCGGGGAGGAGGTTGTTTCAGTGTTAAAAATGGGGTCGGGGGATGGTTCACAGCCCAGGGGCCCCAAAATTTCATATCGTAGTTGGCTTGGCTGGCAGAGGAGACATCCAGAAAAGTTTCCCCTCAAGCCCCTCAGCAGCAGTGATTCAGACACCCTGGAAGCGGCACAGAGCAAGCAAGGCTCCTCCCTGGGACACACTGACAATACTCCTTGGGGTTGCACCAGCTGCTCCTTTGGGCCTGAATCCCAAAATGGGCTTGTCCTACTTGGGGTGTCCTATTTAAGATGTACCATAGGGGCCACTTGTGATATACAAGTGATATACAAGCCACTTGTATAATTACTGGTCCAAAGGTGCTGCCATGACAATATTACAACTGTTAACAAATAATATCAATAAATCTTTTAGGTGTAGAAGACTATTTCTTCCAAAGTCCTGTAGATTTGGATCATAGAATCACAGAATTGTCTAGGTTGGAAGGGGCCTTTCAGATGATCATTGGGTCCAACCATCCTAAGAAGCTAAGAAATAAATGAGCCACAACCTGAGGAAACTTCTCAACAAGAAGTCAAGCCCTTTCCTGGCTCTCCTCTTGCACAGAGGGAGAAACTGGGGAGAAACTTTGCTTTGCAGAGTTATGGATCTGGACTCAGCCCCGCAAAGCCCTTCAGCACACACAGGCACAGGCACAATCCCGCGATCTGCTAATGGGATATGGACAGCCTAAGCCTCTTTAGATCCTGGAAAATCCCTTCCTCAGCACGAATTAGGCAGCACACAGACAGCCCCCCTGGTGTGGGCTCACCCCAAGGCACTCACGCATGCCTTTACCCACAGCAGCACAGACCCTGCTCAGCAAGGCTCAGCCCCCCAGGGAACCACCACCCTCCAGCCAAGGCACCTTCCTGAGCACTGCATGGATCCCCACCTCAATTTAATGATACTTCTTGCCATGACGAGACCTAAAGAATCACCATAAGGCAGCAGAGTGCCCTTGGGAGCTTGGCAGGGGGGCGCAGGCTGTTGGGGATGTGGCTGCCACAGCACCCTGGGCACTTCTGCCCTCATCCATCACCTCTCCCCACTGGTGACAGCTGAGCTGAGCCCCCGATGCAAAGCTGCCTTGCAGAGAGCAGGGAGATGTGGGCTTGGGGGGTTAAGTGAGGACAGCTCGGCTTCCTGCTTTAGCTCTGCGGGTTAAAAATCACCCGCTGGTGTGGCTTGATGGTGGACAGATGTGCTGGCAGCCAGGAGGCGGTGGTGGAGGGCAGCCGGTAGTGCCCCACCATCAACTTCACCCATTCAGGAGCCCAGGCGGTGCGTGGAGGTTGACATGGGGGCTGCAACCTTGACCATCTCCAGCAGCATCTCCCTTGCCCAGCCAGTCGCTAGCTTGCAGCACAGGAGCCTGCTGAACTCTTCTGGGTGCTCCTGAGCTCCCTTTTGCCAGCTCTGTCCCACAACCATCTCCCTCTTTCCTGGGGCCAAGACAGACCGAGCATCGTCCTGGCCCCAGCCTCTTCCCAGCAGCAAAAATTCAGTTGTGCCAACAACTCTATTTGAGCCTCAAGGTGGCCGGGCAAGGTATGGAGTTTATTATGAGACAACTTCAGTCAGAACGAACATTTCCCTTCAACTCATCCCAACTTTACAACCCTGGCATGCCCAATCCCATGTGATCCAAGCAGGCTTTACCCGCCCCTGGAGTATTGTGTGCCCTAAATAACATCACTTTCCTTCTTGTTTTCTGTGAGCAAAACTGGAGCCCTGGCATCACAGCCAGAGGACAGCCTTGTAAAACAAGGCTTCTCATAAATGTCAGCCAGTTACCGCCATGGCAATAAATTGTCTCCTTGCTAGAGTTCTTGCCATATAATAATGCAAAATACGGCTTCTCATACGGTACGTCACTTGGCGGGCGAGATTTTTCTCTCTGAACTCTGTATGAAACAGCTTTCAGCTCAGTTGTAAAGCTATGCCCAAGGCTGACAAAAGGGCTTTGCAATGGTTTGCCCTGCTCGGAGTGAGAGGGGTGTGAGTTGTGTTCACAAGGGCACAGGGAAGCCCAAACTTTCTCTGCTGGGCTCTTCCAGCAGATAAAACTCCGAGGGGCTGAGCTCTGCTTTGGCATCTCTCTCGTCCTCTTACTGTCACGTATCTGCTGCATCCCCAAGATGGGGAGTATACACTGATATTCCAGTTTTAATATGAGCTTACCCAAGGCAAGAGATAAAGCAGTGAGTTTATCGTGGCAGTAACACGCGATGGCAGGGATGGAAACACAGCCCAGCTCTCGTGTGTTACACTCCATCGGTTATACCAAAGTTGAAATGGGAATAGAAAAAGGTGAAAGAGGGAAGAGGGAAAATTTTTCAAGATGTTTGACTTTGTGCTTTAGTGTTTCAGCAAAGCTCTTACTTTCCGTATGGAGATTCTTTAGCTCTCCATGCTTTTCCAACCCAGAGTTTTGGATCCCCTTAGTGCCCTTGCTGCTTAAAGAAATCCCGAATGCAAACAGCTGGCTGACATGAAGTATCTGAATAAAGTGAAGCTCTGAAATGCAGCACGTGATGATTGACTAATTGCAAGGCGTTTCATGAACATCGCTTGCAGAAAAGGGAGAGGGAAGGCCCACTGCTTTCACACCAGCTTGTCCCCAGCAGTTCTGTCCATCAGCCAAGTGACTGTCAAAGCCCATGATGGTCTTTATAGTTTGATCACGCAGTGTGTGAGCACACAGCAAGGCACGTACTTTATTTCTCTGGTGCCACCTTGTTTCTCTGCCGCTCAGTGGTTTGAAGGTTCATGCTACAGGCTGATGATCCCAGCTGGTGGCCTGCAGGTTGTTTCCACCTAAGGTTTTCTACACAGGAGAGGGTGAAGAGCTGCTGCAGGACCTGGAGAGGATGCAATCAGCCACTGCACAGCCTTGGGGTGTAAAAAGAAAGCCAGCACTGGTCCCTGCTCCCAGTCCCAGCTACAAACACAGATGGTGAAGAAGACTTTGGGTTTGAAACTGGAGGCTCCAAGTTTTGTCTTGGGTGATACCTTGAAACTCGGAAGGACCATAACATACATGTCTGGAGATCTGCTGCAATATTTCCTTCTGCAGACAGGATGCCCAGCCATGTGACTTTTCACTTCCCTTCAAAACAAATTATGTTTTCCAAGAGAAAAAAAAAGAAAAGAAAGTAGAAGACAGACTTCCTACCACATATAAGCTAAAAACTGATGGTCCTGTACTCCCTCCTTTATGTTTTATTATTCCACCAGGTGTCTGGAAGCCCACACTATGTGCTTTTTTGCATCGTCAGATCAATACAAACCCTGCTATTTTGTCAGAGCAAGAAATGGGAACATTTCAAAGCACGGTGAGAAAGGGACTGATTTAGCACAGTCTGTCTGCATGAAAGATGCTGTTTCGGATGCTTTGCAAATCGGCTGATCTGTGGTATCTGCTGCACTGTGATAGGTGGGACTGTGGCTGGCTCTTGGGAGACAAGTCAAGGAACTCCTTCCGCTTCTCTGTGCAACCAGAGATGGGAAATCAATGCCAACGCCCTACAGAGGGATATGTGGGAGCAGGCAGTCAGAAAATCACAGAATGATATGGGGTTGGAAGGCACCTCTGGAGATCATCTAGTCCAACGCCCTGCCAAAGTAGGGAAGGTCCTGGCTTTCACCGTGAGGTCAGTGAGCTTTCCTGTACCAACACAGCCTTGCAGTGTCCATCTGGAGGGCAATAATTCTCTACCCTTACTCCAGAAAGTAAAAAGTCAAGTGTCTGGTTCAACCTACCAGTCGAGATGCTCTCAATACTCAAAGCAAAGAGAACCTTCAGACATTTCAAGCTAGGTGAGACAATTCCCAAGTGACCTCCACTGCCGTGCCTGCTCCCTGCTCAGGCACTTGCACATGGTTTGTCCCATACCTGGAGCTGACCACTAGTGTTCAGCCCAGGAGAGGGGCTCCTCCAACAGCCAAGGGTGCTGTATCTACAACAACTCCCCAAATTTCTGATGTTTATCAAGATGTGTGAAGAGGTGGGACTGCATACGCACTCCTGAGTGCTAACAGTTCATCCATATGGCAGGGAGCTGCACACGCCGGGTGTCAATATGGGCCACATGCATTTCATGGGCCAGACTTATCACGAACTCAGACGGAAATTATGCGCCAAAACACAGAACAGATTTTTTCTTTTTTTTTCAAAGCAGCTCCCTACATCACATTTTTACTGAAAATCTGCCATGTCTTTTAGTGCCTGCACATGCGGCGTGACCCCCGCGTGCTTGAAGAGCTGAACACAAACGCTTTCAAAAATCTCTGTCATTTATGTACATTTACGTATGAGTGTGTAAGGACTAGAGATGATATATCTCCAATACACAAACGCAGATGGTGCTTGTACGGCACGTGAAGATCTGAAGGAATGTGTTTGTGTGGACGAGGAGGGGGATTGGTGTGTGGCAGAGCTGGTCACACACACACACACACACACACACGACGTGCGTATTTTCTCTGCTCCTTGGCTTCCGCACCTTCAGGATGGGGAAAGCTGATGCTGACCTCCTTTGCAAACCCCTTTGAGACCCGTCAGCAACAACAAGACCTGACGTACCCGCTTGTTCTCTCTAAGACAGGGATGCTACAGAAAGGGAATCTCTCTGGTGGTTATTTGCAGGATCTTCAGAATCATAGCTGTTTTTCTCAAGGAAAGGACGTTTTAGCTAC